GGATTTTGACATTGTCGGGGAAATGATAGGATCCTCTTTAAAACACCTATTGAATCACGAGATGAGACAATTAATCAAAGTTCAAATTTTCCCCTGATCCGGACAGACTCCAGGAAGTACTTGACAAGGGATGGTTTCATTTTCGGTTACCTTACAAGATTGTAATTGCTAAGAAGGATCAATTCGATGATAGAAGATACCAAGTTCACACTGGCATTTCTTGTTATGCCGAAGATTTACCAAAATCCAGATCTCTTAAAGGACCTTTCGTATGTATCTAGTCATTTTCGATGAATTAAATTTTTGTTATTTGCTATTAATAATCTTGTCTATCAATAATTATAGTCCGTAGATTATGTATGTTTACGTCCCCACATTGCATATGACCATGTAGAAAATCCACCTATCATTGAACATTTAGAAAATGATTATGAAAGTGTATATAGTGATAATGAATATTATGATCTACAAAATAATCCTGAAGAAAATGCTATCATTTCTTCAAAGAGGAGAAAAAAATTAATCAAACTTTTATCTTGTAGTGCTGGTGATATGATTTCTAATAGGGACAATCGGCTTTATGTAAATGCTAACGCTATGGGCATAAGTGGAAATCACCATCGTAACACTTTGTAGAATAGATTTTTTTTTTTTTTTTGTAACATACTTTTAGAAACTCCTTTATTACTTGACGACTTCGGTCACTATGAAACGATAATTTGAATGTTTACGTATTTTTTTTTTATACATTTATAGATCAATTATACCTTTTAAAATTAGCATTAAAAATTATATTAATTGTAACAGTAAAGTTAATAAATAAAAATTTATGGTTTTCTGATGTGTAATTTGAAACTTTTATAAAACATTAAGTTTAATCAGTTTGTCAATTCCGATGAAACAGCAGGGATACGGAAAATATTAACCAAATTTCTTGAGCATGCCTTAAATTAGAAAAACCGCAAGCATGGCTAAAACGTAAAAATCTTTCCGTGCATTCAACCTTATTATTTTTCTTATTGACGCATGTAAGGAATCTGTGTCAGGCTTTATCGACCATTCGGCTTAGATTGATCGACATCGGCCTGCATGGAATGTTGTGATTATTAAAATTAAGTAATACGTACGTACGTACGTACGTATACATAATGATTTATAAATAATTTATAAATACGTACGTATTATGCAGCTCCATAAACAATTTACAATGATGATTTATAATTATTATGCGGTTTCATAAACGGTTTCATAAACGATTCATAAGCAGATTAATAGTTGTAGCAAGAAATTGACCAATCAAATACAATCTTACAATTCAATTTTACCGGAGATCAAATGATTGGATTAAATTTACCTAACAAAAAGAATTACAAACAAGGACCTCAAATATAAATAATTACAGAGACCCGATAGTTGAAAATTATTACAAATAAGAACAAATATACCGTCAAAATTGCTAACCGATTTAAATGAAATGGAACCATGATTAATTGTCTCATCTCGTGATTCAATAGGTGTTTTAAAGAGGATCCTATCATTTCCCCGACAATGTCAAAATCC